AAAGACGAAAAAAGAATAATTGATGGTACCTAAAATTATCTACATATTTTTTGTCCGTTTTCAAATATTATTTAAAAATATTATATATATATATATATATATATATATATATATTTATATATATTTTATAATCACAAAATTAAAAATTATAAATTAAAAATTAAAAACATAAAATTAAATAATTATATTCAAGTTTTCATATTCTTTATCAATCAAAATTTAAAAAAATTTATATATATATATATATATATATATATATATATGTAATGAAAGCATTACATATATATTAAGTAAGTATCGCATTATTTGTGATGAGTCATTCACACGCGCAGACATGATAAAACATTAATATATAATTAATATGTTAATTTATAGAATTATTTAATTATATTAAATTCGCAAGCACAAAATATTTTCAACAGTAATAAGTTTTCTATAAAACATTTTTTTTAATTTTCAGAGAAGCAGATGTTACTTATATTGAGAATGTCGATTCTGTTGCACGTAAAATTAAAGTTACTCACTTCATAGCTCAGAAAGTAATACAGGAATGTTCTTATTATGAAAATCCACTTTGGCCGTTATCCTCTCTGTTAAATGAGGCTATTGTCACATTTCTTGGATTATACGTCACCAATCAGGTTATTTTAAGCATTCTTTAGTGCAAAACTTGCTCCCTAGCAAACAATGTGATGGATATATATACATATATATATATATATATATATAAAGTAAATATTTACTATATATATATATATATATATATATATATATATGTATATATATATATATATATACTATATATATACATATATATATACTATATATATATATATATATATATAGTAAATATTTACTTTTACACAGTTACCCTCAAATGACTCGACCTTGACATAAATTGTCAAGGGCACTGCCCTGAAGAACATCCAAAAGGTTTTAGACGTCGCTCATTGTTTATTAAAAAGTTATAAAGAAGTTTTATAAGGTTCACAGAAATTTTGGACTATGTACAATAATAGACTTTTCATATTGAAAGTTATAAACGAATAAACATATTGAACAACTTTATAATAAACAACGAGCGACGCCTAAAATCTTTTGGATGTTATTCAGTGCAGTGATCTTGACGATATATGTCAAGGTCAAGTCATTTGGGTCTGTGTAAAGTTAAATATTTACCATTATAGCGTACAATTTTTTATAAATAAGAATATTAGGCAAAGATTCCATATTTACAAAGAAAAGTGAATTTTTTTTAAATGTTAATTTTTAAGTAAATGCAATATACATAAATAATACAATTTAAAATATTTTTACATTTCTATGTTTCCTTTATTCTGTGTGTGTGTGTGTGTGTGTGTGTGTGTGTGTGTGTATGTGTATGTCAAAGTCACTATGTTACATTTGTCCGACTTTAAATTATTATATATAAAAGAAGAAAAATTATTATTCAGATTCCACATAACATATGTATACATGTAGAAATTGTGTAATAAGATAATTTTGCTATATAATATATATTAAGAATTCTGAAAATATTAATTTTAAAATTATATGTTGAGTAATCATTTTTGTTATTAATATTATATATTTATAAATTATTTATTCTATATTTTAAGAGTATACGAGTATAAGAGATTTTTTTACATACACATAGAAAGTAAGAGCTGTAATGCATAATGCTATTGTGTGTTGAATCTAATATTAATTAAGTAAATACATTTAAATACTATTTTCTATAGACTATCCCAAGTACTCGGATGATGGACTTGTTTGTGGTACAAATTCAACAAGAATCCCTTCATTTCGATACTGAATATAATACATCACTTTATAATACATCATTCAACATTTCTTTTGAACATTACAGTTACATTAAAGGTATGATAATATAAATAAAAATTGATTATAAGTAAATTTTTTTAATTTATGATCATTAATACCTTTTTATATAAAAATCTCTATTTTTTATTACATATTCTTGTAGATTACCTCGAGAGATTTTCAAAACGCTATAACAGAGTATTTTTTCATTGAGTACTTTTCAAGTTATATCTTAATTTTACTTAAACTATAAAATATCTAGTAAAATATTTATTTTTCAATTATCTTACCTTAATAATTTTATGTATTAAATAATGAGATGAATCAATTGGTTTAAAGAAAAAACATAGTTGTTTTTAAGAAAAAATATAATTGTCAATTGCAAATTAATGTGTTTCATATCAGTTTCGTTAAGAAAAGTATTAAAATTGTCAAACTTTAACTTGTTATATCTTTTAAACTAGTGTCGTCTCTTGTTTACTTTTTTGCGCGAAATTATTCAGGATAACTTCCTCTATAACATATTCAAATGATGATAAAATCGATGTAACGTTTTATGTACTTTTACCATAATTATTGATTATTGAATTATTATTTACTATAACTATTATTTTATTCATATTCTGATGTAAATTATATAATTATAGTATCCGGCATATTGCGTAGATTACAAAAACTGATTACTAAAGAGATATTTTGGCAGAGTATCCGTATATATGTAAAGGACAAGTAAGTAATGCACCATACTACTATAATTACTATTTTTATTTAAATTAAATTTATTTTTCTTTTTAAACTTACATCATTTCTTATATCATTATTTATATATATATATATATATATATATATATATATATACATATACATTTATATATACATATACATATATACATACATATATACATATATATATATATATATATATATATATATACATTAAAATGGCTCACCCTGTGTATATATGTATGTATATATGTATATGTATAATATCTTTCGTTAACACATCAATAAATTTTGTATAAATTTTATAACTTTAGCAAGCCAACTCTGAACTATTTTGGTGAAATTATGAAGAATCTTTCGTACAATCAAAAGTCTACATACAAGTCTACATACAATTTAACTCGTATAAAGGAACTAACCACTATGCTGCTCAAGTCTCCAATAAAACGAATATATTATACTGTAATGGAAGTAGTACGAGATTATAAAACTTATTATTATTCTATCAAACCAATAAAAAGGTTGATATCAAATTTAAATAAGTCGGCGGATGATTACATATCGGATTCTACAGAGTTGAATAACTCTATGATATATAATATAGGACCGCTTGACTTTCTGGTATATAATTCAAAAGAATCTGGTAAATTTGCAATAAATTTATTACATTTTATAGTGTTTATCACACATTGGAAAGAAAGATTTACATTATTAAAAGTGTTATTCATTATATTATGTATTACATACATTACATTTATTATACATTATATATACATACATACATTATATATACATGCATACATACGTACAATTATTAGAAATATTCAATTTTCATGCAAAATGATTTTATACCTAATATAATATACAATTTGCATTTCCATTTATGTTCACTTTATGATACATTTTTTATTTCTGTTAATGAACAAAAGTATAAGTACAAAAGTATAAGTACAAAAGTATAAACAGATACTTGTACTGATAAACCCTTTGAAAGAATTATATATATATATATATATATATATATATATATATACAATTTATTTATATTCGGCAGGATATTATCGAGTCAATTACGATATCGAGAACTGGCGAAGAATTACAAATTATCTAAATTCTAAAAATTATAATAAAATACATGTTTTGAATCGTGCTCAAATTATCGATGACGCTTTCCACTTAATGATAACAAACCAACTTAATTCAACTGTATTCTGGAATATTACAGAATATCTATCACAAGAAACAGACTACGTGGCATGGTATCCTATGTTCAAAGCTTTAGAATATCTGTCCAATATCTTTCTATTTCAGGAAAAAATATATATTGAAATCAAGGTAATAACACAAATTATAAACAATGTCAATAGTGATGTCTTCAACATACTAAAACATATTACTTATTGCACATATTAATATTGTATGCATTTATAACAATAATTATTAAGTGCTTGTCAAAAAGATACATACACTAAAATACAGTATAGGCCAAAAACATATCACCTTTATGTTTTTTGAGAGTAACTTAACTCAAAATGAATAACTTAATTCAAAGTGTATATATTTTTATCTAGTCACATGTTTCAATAGTAGGTATAATATAGATTATTTAACAATAGACTTTTCATTCAATAATGAACACAGCTACTTAAGAAAAATTAATTAAATATATACACTTTGAATTAAATTATCCTTAAAAAAGATGATATATTTTTGACGGGTACTGTACATGTAATTAGAAAAAATTTGATTAGATAAAAAGGTTTAAATATACATATTTTAGATGAAAGATAAGTATATTTGTAAATTAACATTCAAATAGTGTATGTACTAATATTATAAGAAATTCGAGAGGAAAAGGGAGAAAAGTTGTTATCATTTTTAATCACAGCATAATATTTAAAATGACGATTTAAATATTATTAATTTTAAGATAGAAAGTTAGTAGGACACATATATATATTAATTATCTATGTGTTTAATACACAAAAGAATTAACAAATTATTAAATTATATTATACAATAGATATAATGTCTACATTTATACAATAGATATAATGTCTACATGTGTACAATATATGCATGCATGCACTTCTGTATGTTTATTTTGTAATATGAACATGTATTAAGCATGTGTGAATGTGCACGCAAGAAAAATTCAAATTTGTGTAAACAAATTTGTATAATTACGTATATATAAGTATAGCTATATAAGATAGATATCTTTATGTGAAATGAATTCAGAGCTGTTTACAAAGACAGAATGTTTTTAATATATAAACCATCTTAATATGTAAAATACAATTACGCAAGATATCTTTCTATATAACAAAGTATAATGCAAAAATCGAAAAATATAAAATTTATATCAAGTAACAATATAAATACATATAAATACATATATATGTACATATATATATATATATATATATATATTTATATATTTATATATTTAGGTGAAAGTGCTAATCTTACTAAACAAGTTGCTTGATTCACTTAAATACAATGAACTTGATTCTAATGAACACGATCTTACAAAGAGTTTGAGAATGGAGGCTGCGAAATGGGCATGTAATCTTGATGGTCGCATATGCATAGAAACAGCCCAACATAAATTAAATCGATATCTCGAAGATCCCGAAAACAACACGTAATTTTTTTTGTATATTCTCGGTTATTTTAATTTGATTGTTTTGTAGATACATGTGCAATGTTTATTACATTATTTGATCAAAATTTAAATTTATTATGTTATGTTATAAAATAATAATTTGTTAAATTATTTAATCAAAATATAAGATTAATATGAGCAAAACTTTTATATGAGAATTTTGAAATCTTTTGTTAAATCTCGTAGGATTTTGCCATGGTGGGAAGAATGGACATACTGTCAAGGTTTAAAAATATTATACTATTCTCTTGACATTGAAGATTCTCCTACCAATAAAGAGTCTCCTTGGTGGAGAGTATATCATCTGGGAAAAGAAAAATTTAAATCTAAACTTTTAAAATTCCTCTCTTGCCCTGAGGATTCAAAATTTATCAAACCATATCTTAATCTAATAAAAAATGACAGTACAACATCGATTATATTTTTAAAAGATTTTTCCGATAAAGATTATATTAATTATTTTCTTTTTACTATCGCGAAGCATGCAAGGAATCCTGTAGTACTCGACTTCATATTAAAAGAACTTGAGAACATAAGACCTAGGTAATACAGCTTCCTTTGTAATATATATCTATCATTCAACAATTTATGTATGTATCAATAAATTTATTATTTTACTGTTATAGACAAATCAGCGAGTATGCAACATTAACTGTAATTATTAATCATGTGTATTCCACACATCAACTCGAAAAGGTAAAAATTGCATGTGCTTATGCATATATGTGTGTGGGGGGGGGGTGCGCGCGCGCGCGTGCGTGCGTGCGTGTGTGTGTGTATAAAATAAATAACCATGATGCGACATCAAATATTGCTGTTTAATATCATCAAAATAATCTGTTTTAGATAAACGACTTCTTCACAAATAAATTTTTTAACGTAACGCAAGTTCAATTAAATGAATGTAAGAAGTTATCGCCTTTAAAGGAAAGAAATATGAAAATAAAGGTAAATTTTATGAATATTATTATACTAATATTTCATTTATTAATCATTAATTTTTTGCTTTCATACAGAATGTATTAATGTTACAGTATCCCAAAGTAATCAAAAATTAATGTCATTTAATTTTTTTTATAAAATAAGCTTAGTTTTATTTCTAATTTTCGAAAATATATTATTTTGGAAATATGTAATTTTTAATGAATGAGAAAGTGAAGAAGAGTGTGCGAGCAAGCAAAAACAAAAGAGAAAGAGAATTTCTTTACTTGGAAATTTTAGTGAAAATCGATTTATATAAATTTTAGAAAGAGAATTTACAAGCTTCAACATATTATATTTAAATCTTAGTCAGTCTAGATGTTTAGCTTTTAGTTAAATAAATAAATTTAAATGTTTTTCAATATGATTGAGAAAATATTACGTAATGTGATTCGCACTTTAATATTACGAGCCACTTGTTTACTAAAATAAAAATTTAACAAAGATGGATAAGTTAAGAAAAATTAATGCACTTGTTAGATATAATAATTTTAATATTATAATATGATAATGATATTATCGTTGTGACAGCTGCAGCTCATGTAAATTTCTAATTTTATTTTTAAAATCTCCAATTCTAAATTTTGATTTTTATTTGTTGAAAGTTATTTGTACAGTATTATTTATAAGCATTCCTTGCAAACAAAAGAATTGTTAAGTAAAATATAGTGCAACACAATGCATATAATATAATAGAACACATAGTACAATAGAAGAATGATTTTATTCTCATTTCAGCAAATTTGTAATTTTCATAATCCATAATTATTATTTATTCCTATTATATTTAAGATTATTATTATTATTATATGTATTATATATATGTATTAAATGTATTAATATTATATATATATATAGACACACACACATACACAAGATAATATTTAATATAATATTTAATATAATATTTATTAATAATTATTGGCTAATACTTAATACCGATATAATCTGTTTTAGACAAGCAACATCACACAATCAGCAGTATATTTCAGATGTATGCAGCAACATACTCCAAATATTGAAAGCAACATACAAATGCAATATATTTCAAATATTGAAAGCAAGATACAAATGCGCTTTTTCGAAATCAAAAGTCAACAGAATTACTTTCAAAATTTTGTCAAATATTCAGAGGGGTTTTTTCAGGAAAGCAACGCATCAATAAATCCGTCTTGGTTATGCTTAGTTTTGGGTATTACGTTATGCTAGTAACTCATTATCATTACCGTTACCGTTACCGTTACTAAGAAAGTAACGATTCGTTACTTTTACGTTACTTTTTATAATACAAAAATTAAATTAATTTATTTTAAAATATAATTATTACTTTTATATATTTGAAAATTATAAGTTAATCCATCATTGATGTTCTTCATATTCAATTTTTCATTTATTGTAATTTAGAAATTTTAGATTTATGAATACAGAGAAAACATTATGCATGTATATAATTTTCTAAAATATTTATAAACTGTTTTGTAATAGGCATAGATTTTTCAATTACTAAGGAGATACTATCCAGGATTACAGAATTAAAGTAACGATAAAAGTAACGGTTAAATTCGTTACCGTTACTGTAAAAATGTAACGACGTTACCGTTATCGTTACAGACAGAAAAAAGTAACGATCGTTACGGAAAAAAAAAATAACGGTAACGAAAACGACATTATAAGTAACGCGTTAACTCTTCGCAACTGTGCAAATATCAACAATAACCGTTTAATAAAAGTAACAATTGTGACACGAATACATCTTCTATATCTTTGTTACAAATAGCTTTTTATAATGTTTATAGTTTTCGATTTATTATTTATGCTCATGTGCGTTAATAATATATAATTAAATACACGTGCATTTACAAAGATACTTTGTGGCCTGCAATTAACCGGTATTTTCATTTCTTTATTAACATGAAATAACGCAAAATGTTAATTATCGACAAAGAAAAATAAGAGAAGGAGAACACTATTGTATAACGGACGGAGGAGATTTTGTCATTTTTATCCGTACTTTTATTCCATAAACAAATTTTTATCAGAGAACGCAAACAAAAAAATGCATGGATAAATAAATGTGCACTTGAATAATAAATGTAAAAAAAATATACAAAACGCATAAATATATATAATATACATTTTTATATTATAAAAGTTGTTATAATTAAAAAAAATTCTTGCGAGACTCGAACCCGCAACGTTGGAAATATAAATTCTAGTACTCTACTGCTACGCGCTGTTCGATTTGAGGTCTTACTTTGCTTATACTAAACTGAAATTTTTTAATGTTTTTATTTTGTAAACGGTAAAGAAGCGCATTTTATCCGTTTACAGGTATTCATTTTATATGCTACCCAAACGATACACCGAGTTTCGGCGAAATCGATTGATATCACACTGTGACCTCCCCTTGTCAGTCTTCTCTCTAATATTAATTATTAATATATTTAATATAATATATTATTAACATTCTATTTCCTTTTTTATTTCTATTCCGGACATCCATTTAAAATGATCGATTTCCTTTATCCTGCATTAAATTTTGTAATATAATTATATATATATATATTTAATATAATTGTTTTTGTTATACATAATTACATATTTTGTAATGTATTTATGCAATTGCAAGTTAATTGTAATTTACTATAGATATATAAATTATAATTATGTAATATGTAATTATATATAATGCATGTTTTATATACGTATTATATTTTCTCTTTAGGAAACTGTTGGAAACTCTGCATTAAAAGAAAATAAAAATAAAACAAAAAAGTACTTAAGATTCCGTTCGGCTAATGAAATGGTCATATATTTTCAAACTTAAGAATAAGACTGTAAATATCGGGCGTAGTTACTGATGCTAAATAGAACGAAGGGAGTCAGACTAAGAGAGATATCAAAACTATAAAAATGGATTATATTCACATTTATAAATATCATACATATCAATTTAACTTTTATCACTTATAGTTCATTTTAAATCAACAAATATAACGTTTCTGTACTTTATAAAAAACTATCTTACACACAAATTACAACAAATTATAACAAATTAAAATTAAACTTTTCTTATTGATTAACAATTTAAATGTACAAAGAACCATCAGCAGGACCCAAATATCTCATAGAAATTAGTATTACGTCGATTAAGGTCCATACACCCAGTCCACCAAAACTAAATAGCTTGCCAATATCTTCTTGCCAGTGTCCTAAATAAAACCTATAATAAAACATTTAATAAATATTATATTAATAAATTGTAATTAATTGATTATCTATGTTTTAGATAGTACTTTTTTGCAAAATCACCTGTCAGCACCAAATTCTCCAAGAGTAATGCTCAATATCAGAGCTATAGACCATCGATATCCAACTGTCCAATTGCAAGGCAAGTTTTTCATAAACTTTCGTCTGCCCAGGCACAATACATCATCATTTACTGTACAATTTGTTCTACAATAAGAATATTAACAATAAGAATATCTGTTAATATTATTGTAATCAATATAATAAAACTTATGATTAACACACACCTATAATATTGCTGTGGAGATGCTACTGAGCTACAGGAATTTTTCTGATGACACTGATGTTCCCAGTGATCAGTTTGATAACAATATCGACACATATATTTCTTTTGGAAAGTTTTCTTTCCCTGTTAAAAAATAAAGCATTTATAATTTATATATAAACCTATTATATCTCCATATGTTATATAATTCTAAACTTCTTCAATTAAAAACAAATTTCACATACTATGCAATCACCATGTTCCATAACAGAACACTGTGCATCATAAACAGCACCATATACACAACTATAATTAAAAATGCATTTTAGACATTCTCCGCTCAGTTCAATACAAGGTATCCCACTTGGACCACACAAACCAGTTAGTTCCTCCTGCAATTTAATAATTCAATTTATATCGCTATACAAATCATCAATACTATCATCACGCAATACATCATAGAAATTGAAAAGTTTCACCTTTTTGCTACTGTAGGCTGGTGTAGTATTTACATTAGCTTCTTTTAGTGTAAAGGCGCTTAGAGTATCTGTAACAATTTCGCATTAACTATTAGTATACATGTATGTGTACAAAAAAATATATATTTTAACACTCCTACATTAATATATTTGACAAATCTCTAATAACTTTTATATTCAGACTGCCTAAATTTTATTAAAATTCATGTGAGAGTTTGTTGTCACTTTATATAATAATTGACAAGTTTGCTCACCATGACCTGTATGTGTTTCCTCGGCGGAGGTTGACAGAAGCGCTATAAAGAGGAATATCACGTTCCTCGAATTGATCCGAACGACGCGCATCCTGCGCAAGGATTCGTCTCACCAGGTGCCGGATATACCACTCGTCAAAAAAAACTCGCTACATCAATTTATATCTCAGTTTTCGTGTTTATCCATACTAAATACATGAAGTCAAGAAAAGCGATAGCGTCGAATATATTTGGCGTCAATTATCCTCGATACATTTGACAGGGAGGGAGTGTGTCGAAGTCATCTGTCTCATCGCGATCGAACACAATTTTCTTGTTACTATTTTTTCGTATCGCTCTGCATAAAATCACCTACAAATGCAAGTACAAAATGCGGAAATATGTATGTATGTACAATATCTATGAAACGTGTGCTAATAGGAGAAACAACATGGTGTAACCAATTGGATTCGTTACTTCGTTTATCCTATATATACATATATTTAACTTCATCTCTTCTGCCCCGTACCTTGTTTGTATAAATTCCTTCAGATTTTTAATCATGATCTGGAAGAGTGATATTAATAATATACTGAATATATCGAGAAATACATGATAAATGTTATGATATGAATAAGTGTCCAACACGCTTCTACATCAGATACATCACGACAGAATTTACGAAGTAATCGTTCTTTGAAAGTCACATCGATGAATAAAACAAAACAAGATAATAAAAAATAAACAAATATAACTTCGAAAAAATATAATTCGAAAAACAAATCATTAAATTCATAATAATTAATTCGCGATTCTTAATATCGAAGGTGATCGTTAACTTTGTAAATTAATATTTAATCGTTGAACTTATCACATCGAATCTTCACTCTCTTATTCGACCATTTCTTTATATTTAATTAGCAATATTTAGGAATATTATTTGACGAGACAGCAATAAAATTCTTTTGTTAAAATGATAATCTTATTATTTACGCGTATAAGGACGCGAAGAGAACGCGGAAAAAACACGGTATTTTCGCAATCATAATTTAATAATTTATTTTAAAAATATTCAGTTCCGCGCGATGTGGAATTCATAAATAAGCTAACGGAAGCATATCATTACATTTATGACTTTCGATATTCGAACTCAATTTTGACTTCTCCGGGAAGACTCGAATCGTTCGTCGAGAATCGATCCTTCAAAACGCAATTGTATAATTTTAC